GTCTGAATTTACCTCTGAAAAGGATGATTCACCCAAAAATGCTAATTCTGCCATGATTAACTCCCCATTATTGTCCCAAAATGAGCTTTTCTTTCCAAACCATTCTGATTCTGTATCCCTATATAACATTCTGGAGAGAGCAAAATACGTCCCGTTTTTTTGCAGTTTTTGTTTTCGCGAATACACTAGGCGCCGGTGTGTATGCTTTTTCTGATCTCTCTGGTGATTTCTCTTGTGAGTGCCATTCACGCCTGCTGTTCGCACATAAATCCACCACAGGCAGCTGTCTACTGACTGAATGAGTGACTGACTAATCGACTGACCCACCTAAACCCAACCAATAGTGTTTTCAAAAGCACCGACAAACATGTCGAGCTAACTGAACAAACTGGTAACAGCAAAAAGCCATCCATATGGCCGTAAGCAGTCAGCTGGTAAGTGAGAAAAGGAACAATGTCATTCGGCCCCGTAGCGTTCATTTTACAGATGAAATGCGGCCATACGTACTTCTGGCTACATAATTTGCGATCTCCTGATATGTATATAGGGCTACGTTTTCAGACAGAACCTATGATGTTTTTTTTTTTTATATTATGGAAGTCAATGAGTGGCAGCAACCTGCATTTTCTGAAATATCTATGTTGAACAGTGAAGAGAAACTGATAACAAGACCGTTTATGAGATACTGAAGACACTATCTCATAAACCTTAAGACCTGGTCAACAAATGAGCTGTTAAAAAACCCACATCTGTTAAGCACAGTTTGTACACCCTGACCATTTTCACCACAGGTTACTGCAAAAAGCACCTTCAAAGGAGCTGAATTCAAGAACTCTTTTCCCTACTTCATACTCCTGACGACTGAATCCATCACCGTGAATTAGAGAGCGGTGAATCACTATGCCTTTGTAGTACATTTGCTTCTTGAAAAAAAATGACTGAACGCCGTCTCTCTTCACAGTCCAGCTTCCCACCGCTTGTCAGTGTGTGAGTCGTGTGGTTTATGGTGAGAGGATGATGTCATCGAGTGATCCGCCTCCTCCACGGCCTCCTGTCTTTCATCCACACACTCTAAATGTGTGAATTAGCACCCCGTCAGAGACAGCGCTCCGTCTCCGGGCCCCCGTGCGTAGTGTCGCTCCAGCTGGACAAATCCTCTATCCGATTATTGTGCAATCAAGCTTCTGGCCAAATTCCCAAAAGCATCTCTGATGGAGATTAATGTTGGATATGCTCTTACCTCGCCAGGCCGAAATTCACTGATTGTATGGAATGGATAAGGTTTTCATTGTCGCGACTTGTCTTAATCTCTCTTTCAGAGTATGTGTCGATAGGTCACCAGCCAGATGTGTGTGCGTGTGTGTCTGGGAAAGACGCGGATTGTTTGCACCCTCACGCTCGCCGCTAAACCTGAGTTGGTTTACACAGATAATCCTGCGGTGACTCTGCTGTCTCGTGCGCGGACGCAAGCTACACTGTATAACAGCTGTGTGGGCAAATTTACACATCGACTCGGCCTTTGCTGACTCTCTGAACAAACACATTGTTTACGGCCACATGTTGCAGAGCAGTGTGTGTGTGTGTGTGTGTGTGTGGACAAATCAGGGTCACTTGAAGGCTTTTTAGGATTCTTGTGGCAGATCTTACTGTAATATTAGATTCCTTCGCCTTTTATCGTTTCTTTATCCAAAAATAAAAACAATCACAGAGTAACTATTTTTAAATCTCATTATTTAATCTACTCATTAAAAGAAAGGTTGCAATTCAGGAACTATTTTGGGTCCACAGAGCTTCTTTCAGTTTAGAAATCTTAAAAGAGACATTTTTCATTAGAGTGAATAGGATTGTAATCAAATAAATTTTCTGTTACTAAAAGGTTCCACTCGTGTTAAAGCTGCATCCCAAAATTAAAATTCAGCACGTATTTAACCTCAAGTAATTTCAAAGCTATACTCTAGGGCAGAGGTGTCCAAACTCGTTGTCCTGAATATTTTAGTTCCAACCCCAATTAAACACACCTGAACCAGCTAATCAAGCTCTTTCTGGGTATACTGGAAATATCCAGGCAGGTGTGTTGAAGGAAGTTGGAACTAAACTATGCAGGACATCGGCCCTCCAGGACCGAGTTTGGAGTTTGGGCTTTATCATGTGTAGTCGTGTCTGAAACTATAATGGACATTCAAAATCAATCCCACATTGCACTGCAATAGCAACTGTACAACCAATTAGATAATTCTCATAATGCACTATGAGCACTGGCGTGCCAAATGAATAACATTCACAGTGAAATCCTATCATTGTTAGTTTTCAAATAATTGAGTGAAGTTTATTTATAAACTAATTTCAAGAGGATCACATGCTCATGATTGCTTGCGACTGGTCCCGCATTATTCAATTTATGATTCACCAATCAGGCGATTCCTAACCCACTATAAATACTCTAAGTTCCATATAACAGCCATCTTCATTTTGAAGAATCCCCCCTTCCACCCCTACTCCTCCTCCTTTCCAAGATGGATGACACAGATCCCAATGGTAAGCACTGTTGCCTCACAGCAAGAATGTCACTGGTTCTAGTCCTTACCAAGCCAGCCGATGTTTCTGTGCGGAGTTTACACGTTCACCCGCTCTCCTGCTTATGTGGGTTTCCTCCCACCATCCAAAAACATGCAAGTTAGGTTAACTGACTAATCCAAATTGACACCACAGACATGCTCCTAGTAAGTAGTTATCTCTTAAGAGCAATCGCTATCTGTGCATTAGCTTCTACAGCAGGGGAGTTCTCGAGATCTACCTGAGCTCAAACTCCCCTCTCTCCTTGCAAATGGGAGGGAGCCCCGAGCTCGAGGATCTCATGAGCTCTGGGCTCTCTCCCAGGACAGCATGCCAAACAAGCTTTATAATCAATCATCAGCTAAGTGTGAACTCTTAAAATATTCATTCATTCATTCATTTTCCTTCGGCTTAATCCATTTAATCATCAGGGGTCGCCATAGTGAGAATGAACTGCCAACTTATAGAATAATGTGATAATGTATTATTTAGTTGGTTAAACAATTTGATTTCATTTATTTTTTTAACCAGCAAAACACAAACAAAATGGCATCCCTTATGAAGTGCTCAAATTTACTCATTTGTCTTCATTCACTTCTTTAAGTGGACTAAACTAGTGGACTAATAAAGGGAATAGTAAATGAGGGACTGTGGAAGATTTTTCAGTTATGGTTCTCATTCATTTTTTTATATGGTCAAAGAAAATAAATATTTAATTGGATTGAATGGGAACTAAAACCTTTTCTTTGAAGCCTCAATATTGGTTCCTCAAAAACCAAGCACCCCAACCCTTCCCAACCTCCCCCAATAATTCTAAATAGCCAAATTGTACCCCAGATCTCAGATTCTTGCACTGTTGATGCTCTGTTGTTAGGAAGACCAAAAAGTTGTCTCAGCCTTCCTACAGCCCTTGTCATTGTCAAAATGATTGAGAGGGCCAATCAGATTGAGGTAGATGGTGTTTACAGTTCATAAACCAGAGCAAAACATTTCAAACATCAGTTTAACATGAAAGACAAGCTAAGTTTAAAGCAGCAAAACACTGAGCGCGTTGTATTTCTTTAAGGAACACTCCTAAACAGTTTTCCCTTTTTTGAATCCATTCAGCCGATTTGCAGGTCAGACAGGAACCTATTTAACTTAAAAATGCAGTAGGTGATTGTCTTCAGAAACATTTTTTGTTGTGCTGGTTGTAAGTCTCTTCACATTCCAGTAGTAATGGTTAAAGTACATTATCTAAATGTATTTATATTTTTATATTCTGGGTAAGGCTTTAAACAAAAAAATATTTCATCCAATTAAATATTGTCAGCAACCAACACCACAGAGAACCTAAAAAATACACTTTCAAATTTGAGTTTACAAAACAAAAGCACCTCTTTTTGGAGGCGTTTATTATAACACAGACAACATATACAATTATTTAAATCACTTTCAACAGTGTTTTATGAAATTTCAAAGATTTATTTTTTTAAATTATACCACAATTTTGCAATTACACCTCTGCATATGGATTTTGGGAAGCTTTTGAATACAAGTAGGCAAAATTCAACTCCAAAATAGCACTTGACTTTAAGAGGTTAAGGTGCGTCAGCTCGTGTTTCAGGAGGCGTGGCTTTTGGACGGCAGGGGGAGGGACTCTGTTTCAAAGATATTTTGCTAACCAGTTATCATTGTGGCAGATCCCCTACTGCACCTTTAACTTAGCATACATCATTGATTTGGATTAGACCATTAGCATCTCACTCAAAAATGACCAAAAGGTTTAGATAATTTTCCTGTTTAAAGCTTGCCTCTTTTGATGTTACACTGTGTACTACTATTAAGAAATGTAAAGAATGCTATTTTCTAGGCTGATATGGCTAGAAACTATATTTTGATTCTGGCGTAATAATCAAGGAACTTTTCTGCAGTACCATGGCTACAGCAGTAGCAATGTTATTATGGAGCACCTGAATATATTGCACTGCATAATATCATTGCAGCCAAGCTACAGCAGCTGAATTGCAAAGTTTATTCCTTTAAATATGATGTAAAAAACATTTGCAGTTTTTAAAATAAGAGTCCTTTAAAATATTATTAGCAATTAGTTAAGGGTCCATTTAGAATAGGACCTAAAATATTGTTTTTAACAAATTGTTCAAGATGTTTCTATGACTAGATTATAAACTTAATTGTTTAAAAAAAAGTTTTTAAAGATGTCACAGAGTGTGACGTCATATTACATCTGTTGCAGTGTCTAGAACTCTTGTGTGTTCAAACTGTTGTCTGACCATGACTTCAAAAGCTGTGGAACCTTCCAGAAATTTCCCCAAATTGCATCAAGCTCTGGCTACCACAAATAAACATGATTGGAAGCTATATTTGCATGGAAACACAAGCTGTTCCAGTAGAACAGATGTAACTGACAAAGCGGCGGAGCCAAAAGCGATGGGGTCCAGACTCACCAGAGTGCAGTATCTCTCCGGTGGGTTTCCACATGTGATATCGGGAGGCTCCACTCTAATCTGCATGTACTCCTTCATGGACATGGGTTTGGGCTGGCAAGCGTAATATTCCCATGTCGGTCCATCGTCTGTGCTGACCAGCGACTTACAGATATCGTACTGGCCGAGAGTCAGAATAATGCACTGTAAAAGCAGGAGCGCCTGTGAGAGCATGGCACTGGATGGGTCCATGGGCATGAGAGAAAGGCAAGGGGCGCCACAGCTTTTAGGAGTGTCAGCATGGAAGTTTTTTAGATGGCAAAATTTCCGAAATCCACCAGTTTCTTCCAAAAGGGCAACGTCTCCGTGGAAAAACCTGCGTGTGATTTTGTAAAATGTGTCTTGCGCTGAGGTGAAATTTTCAGATCTGTTGGGACATCTTCCGTATTCAAAGCTCAATTTAGGGCTTCCAGCTGAAGTCCGGGGGGCGAATGTCACTTCAGCTCAGAGACATTAAGTGCATTTAGTGGTTTATGTGCAGTCAGAAGATGCCTGGAGTCCAGTCTAATGTTCATGCGTGATGAGATGAGCTCTTTCATTTCTGATGGTTTGCCTAGGAAAGGGAGAAATACTGAAGTAAGCTATATGTAGCCCATGTTACATCTATTAAAAAGAGATGTAAAGTTACCTAACATACAGTTCAAATCGATTTCATTATCATTTGTGGAGGAAATTAATATTTGACATGTTTTAAAGGGGATATTGTTTTTATAAATTCATGTAGCAGTCTCAGATTTTAATAATTAGGTTGATGTTTTAGCATGTTATGATGTAAAGACAGTAATTTTATTCAATTCTGAAATTAGCACTATATGTGTTCTAGTAAATAAATAAATAAAATGCAAAGTTGCCTAAAATACTGTAGAAACTAGGTATTTGCATTATAGTTTAAGGACTTAATAAATTTAACTGGGCAAGGTGCATATATTACTGGTGAAATTAGTGTTTAACGATAACATCGTTACCTTATTCAGCATTCACTTTGGTTTATTGACATTAGGCTATATGATTTAATGGCGTATTCAGTAGTAGGATCTTTAAACACTCACCGATATGACTAAAATAAATCGTCACTGATATAAAATTCTGCCAACCATATATATATTATTATTATTATTATTTAATACCGTAGCAGAACTTTAAAAGCTTTCTTCGAGAATCTGCCACTTTCTGTCCTTTATGCAGTAGATAAAAAACTTTTACACTTGGACTTTGCGGTGGGAATCTTTCTTTTTTTAAATAATTTAACCGCGTAAGTAGGTCATCTGAATGGTACAAGCTGCAAAAGAAATTGTCAGACTACGAAATAATGGCGAAATTCAATTGTGACGTATAAGAAACGCGCGCAAATACTCAACATATTTCATTTTTACGTCTATTTAAAAATAAAATATGAACGAAAATAAACAAGCGAATCAATAAATAACTAATAAATGTATTGAATTATTACCAAGTTGATCAGAGAAGTTTATTCAAAATCCATTTTCGCACAAAATTGGGTAAATTTAATAGGCAACTAATCCAAAGTTTCTTGAATTCGTCAAAGAGCATCATCTGAGACGCTTTCCACAATTTGAGCTTTCACAAAAAGCGTTCATTCGGCGTCTTCCATCCCCAAACAACATCTATTTTTAAGAGTTAAATAGCTCTCACACTCGAGTGAACTTACCCTGACTCCAGAGATCAGCACCTTGGCAGTTCCCAGATGAATTTCTCGTGTATGAACTCTCTCTCAGTCAGTTCCCTGCCATATCACTGGAGATGGATGAGAAACACATGCACACGTTACTCCTCTCCGTGGATCACAGCAAACGCTTTCCCCTTCGTGCTTTCTTCGGCTGCCACGTACTTTATTGGAAAGCATTCTAGATGGACGCCCTACATCCAGACTGCTCCGAAAAACGTGCATTTAAAGTTTCGCTTCCCGTCCCCTTGCCTTCTTTGATGTCTCTGTCCTGTGCGCTTCAAGGACAGACTTCAGAGTAAAACACCTCCCATTCCCATCCAGTCTTATTCCGTCCGCGCTCCTGCTCCATTCACTCCGCCGTATCTGTTTGCGCACACTTACGCGCAGCTATAGCTGACTTTCATTTGTCTTTTGCGAAGCTCGGTCATAACACTTTTGGCCACGGCAAATCGGCTGTCCTGTCTTGTCTAACTAGTGTGGAAGCAGAAGTTTATCTACGGGCGCGAGGAGCACAACCGTCCCAGCAGCAGATGAGGCAGTCCGTCCCGCTTAAAGAGACAGATCAGAGGCTCAGGATTCCCAGACTCCTCACAGCGCGATTTACGCTTAATAAGTCATGCAGTTAGCTACCACAGAATCGGTTTAGCGGTGTTACTGTAGTAAACCTGTGTGGTAACTTGTATAAACGGATACATGAAATGAAAGATTCTGAAAGCTTCATGATTTGTTTCCACATAAAAAATACTAGTAGTCATTCATTCAATCATTCATTTTCTTTTTGGCTTAGTCCTTTCATTAATCCGGGGTCGCCACAGCGGAATGAACCGCCAACTTATCCAGCATATGTTTTACGCAGTGGATGCCTTACCAGCTGCAACCCATCTCTCGGGAAAATACTAGTAGTTATTTATAGTAAACACTACAGTGGTTTTTATTTTATTTTAACTACATTTAAAAATTATGTTTGCTGCTTTTTCAAACTATTTATTTAAAATGAGTTGGAACAACCCAATTCTTGAGTTTTTTTGGCAGAATAACTGAATTGTTTTATGTTCAGAGCACTTAATTTTACAAAAACGATTAAGTTAACTCATTCAATTTATGTTGGGGCAACATGAAGGAATTGGGTGACAATATGTGTTGTGGCAACAGGAATTGAGTTAACTCTTGACTTTTAGTCTTTACAAATTTAAGCAGATTGAACATAAAACAATTAAACTGTCCCTCCAAAAAAAAAAAAAAACTCAAGAATTGTGTTGTTTCAACTCATTTTAAAAAAGTAGTTTGAACAAGCAACAAATATAATTTTTTTAAGTGTACACTGTAAGAAATGCTGGGTTCCACACAATTCCTTCACGTTGTCCCAACACAAATCAATTAATTTAACGTAATTGTTTTTACAAATTTAAGTGGATTGAACATAAAACAATTAAGTTGTCCCAAAAAACCTTAAGAATTGTGTTGGTTCAACCCACATTAAATAAGTAGCTTGAACAAGCAACAGAATATATATATTTTTTGATTGGGTAGGCTCCAGTAAGGCACTTCAATGAATATTTTGTGGTGATTGTAAAGTTAACAAAACAACAACAGTATATAAACAATTGACTCAATATACTGTACATGGATTTTGCAGATTTTTTCAAATCAAATTTAATAACTTTTAAGACCATTTTTAGACCATTATGAATGAAATTTTAAACTTATACAGGGCTAAACACTACAAATTTTTTCTAATGGGCCGGTTACTTTTGTAAATAGTTTTTGTATTAATGGAAGATCATGTAAAAGGATGTGTTCCTTTAGTTTTCTTTCCCTGGCTTGGGAATTTAATTTGGAGAATTTGATGTCTAACAGCTGTTGTGAATTGTTTTTCTTTGCAATGAAACAAAAAAAAGTTTTTAGAATGGATTATTGGTGATTGGGTGTTTGCTTGATAGGGAAGCTTTAATTGGACATATGAAAATTGAGACCTGTTTAAAATTATTTAAGACCTTCAACCCAATATTTCAGTGAATTTAAGATTTTTAAGGCCTAAAATTTTGTTCTTTAAGTTTAAGTAGCAGTAGGTAGTTCTGTCTACTCACAGCAAAAAGGTCGCTGGTTCGAGCCTGGCAGTTCTGTGTGGAGTTTATGAATTTATCAGTTCATTGTAGTTATAAAATATGCTGTAGAATTCATTAACAAGAATTGTAAATGCTTTAATATATACATTGTAATACACTTTGGTCCAAAACCACTATAGCATTACTATAAGTTGGAATTTGTCATGTCGAGCCAAAATAAACTAAATAAGCTGGGTGCCATTTTATTTTATTCTTAATGCATGGTCTGTGAAAGAGGTGTTTAGTGAAAGAGGCGTTTAGTTGGAAGTACATCAACATACTGAAATAAAAGTTTCAGCAACTATAGTTCACGCAGATTTTAACCGTGACTTTAAAATATATTTAAAAAAAAAACCTTTTAAAAAGACCTAAAGACTTTTAAAAAATAGGAATTATTGATTGATTGATTAATTGATTGAATAATTGATTGATTAAACATGGATAGGCACTAATGCACTTTCTTGGTATATAGCTTGAAAAACACAAAGTGCAGTAAATGGTAAACATTGCTTTATTATTATTAGAATTATTGTAATGCATTAAAATATGACAACAATTATGTTAACAATTTCGTTTTTCAGGTAAAATAACTGTTAGTGAAATACTGCAAAAGCATCGAATTTACAAATGGAGATGTCCATTTTCTGTTGGGAAAATAAAGGCTTTTTATTTTAGCCAATTTCTGTGTGTTTTGAAATGTCATGTTTAAGTACTGAAACGAAAAAAAAAACTAAACAATAAATCATCACCAAACTTAATAAGCAGGCCTAAATAACAGAAAATAAAAAGTCAGGATGGGTATCAGGGTTCCAACAAGTAACATTATTGCAAATTTAACCTACTAGTAAATAACAAAGTGCCTTATGTCTGATGGAGCTGTCCATGGTAGTAGCCCATGATAGTGGTTTCAAACTCAATTCAACGCCACAGCTTTGCAGATTTTAGCTACAACCACCTGCAACTTACACCTGCTTAAACGTCTCTAGTACTCTTGAACACCTTGACTAGTTGGATCAGCTGTGTTTAATTAGGGTTGGAGCAAAACTGTACAGAGCTGTAGCCCTCCAGGAATCGAGTTTAAGACCCCTGCTACACGACAATAAAAGCAAAACACAATAAAATCGCACCAACATATTTACCTGTATATTGTAAACAGAAGCAACAGACAGAATCCATTTAGTTTTTGCGTACATGCTGACGTACTAGTTTAGATTAAAACATATTTCCACGTTTGAATTCCTGAGATTGCTTAAAAGTAGTTTTTTTATACATAACTTGTTCATTTTCTTGTTATCAACATGGTTGTATTAATTAAACCATGTTTTAAATAAATATTTTCCTTGCGGTTTACTCTTGGTACTCATAACGACAGTTACAAAAAATATCTGCACAGGTTTTCTCGTCGCATCCCGTTAGAAACTACAAATCCCATCATTCCTACAGCGCTAGTGACGTCATTCGAGCGCCAGTGTTCGAGCAGAAGCAGCCATGGCGGATGTTATGAATGTTGGAGTGAATTTGGAAGCGTTTTCTCAAGCGATAAACGCCATCCAGGCTCTTCGGTCGAGCGTCACAAGAGTTTTCGACTTTCTCAAGGATGGGATGAAGAATAAGGAGACCCTTGAAAGCCGGGAGAAAGTCTTTATAACTGAGTTTCAAGAGAATCTGCAGTCAGTGAATCGCGATTTAAAGTGAGTCTGTTGTATGAGATTTAAACAATCCTGTGAAATGTTGTAATTAACGTTGTGACTATAGTTATTGCCAACAGCCATTGTTGTTGGAAATAAGTCACTTGTTATACATATGTGTTAAATTACTCGAAAATACCGAATTGTGTTCGTGAAAAGCAACTACAATGGGGTGCGTTTTCGAAAACCATGGTTAGCCAACTAAGGTCGCAAGTTGTGTCGTTACAAACCTAGTTTGTTGATTTGGTGTTTCCCAAATCTGTCGTTCCAACGAACATTCGCAAACTGCGTCGCAAACTCCTATGCTTACAACTACACCTCTGGAGTTGTAGTTTTAAACATAGTTCCTAGCTGTGTTCTATTCCCTGTTATCCCCCCTATGCCCTATTCATTTAGAACATTCTAACATTCAAACTTAGAATTAAAAAAAAAAGCTCATGACAAAAGCTATAGGTGACCTATTATTTAAAAGCACAGTAAATACATTGTGTTTTATGCAAGTAAATTAGTCGTTTAGGACATTTACTATAAAGTGGGAGCTAAAAATAATATTATCAAAATATTGAAATCTTAAAGTAGGCTTGCACAATATATCGTTTCAGAATCAATATCGCAATTTGCACATCTGCAACAGTCACTTCGCAAAGATATGCTATGTTGAGTCTGGATTATAGTGGACAAGGAGCTACAGAATGGTATTTAATCACTGTATTTATACATTTATAAGGAATTTATTAAAAAAAAAAAAGTTTTTCATACTTTGAATTTTTGTCTTTGTATCTAGTCCAAACATCTACGTGTCAAAGTGAAAACAAGATTACTTTACTTACCCCACCATAGAAAGACTTAATTTTGCCCTATTTCATCTGACTTTTAAAACGAACCAACATTTTATTTGATTTAGAAATGAGACAAAGAAAAGTAAGAAAAGCATTTTTGCGTTGTGATTTTTTTCAATGTATGGACCGGAATGCTATGCAAAACCATCAAATAGAGCCATAAAGCTGTATAAGCTGGCTAGCCAGGGGTGCGTTTTCAAAAAGCATCATTACCCAACTAAGGTCGCAAGTTTCGTCGTTACAAACAGAATTTGTTCATTTGATGTTTCCCAAATCCATCGTTCCAACGAACATTCGCAAACTGCGTCGCAAACTTCTATGTTTGCAACTACACCTCTAGAGCTGTAGTTAGAAACATAGTTCCTGGCTGTGTTCTATTCCCAGTTATCCCCCCTATGCCCTATTCATTTAGAACATTCTAACATTTAAACTTGGAATTACAAAAAAAGCATTAAAGTCATAACTCTTGTTGGTGTAATTTGCTTTCAAAGTATTTTTACAGTTCAGTTTTAGCGATTTTCATGTTTACCATTCCGCTCCCTTCTCAGTGCATTTTAAAAACATTGAAGTCATTTGTAACACAGCCATGGCTCATGACAAAAGCTATAGGTGACCTATTATTTAAAAGTGGAATTTGTTATTTTTGCAAAGCTTGTGAAAAGAAAAACATAGCATACGTTAATGCTTTTAATTTATAGTTGGTTACTTATTACGTATCTGTACTGTATATGACATGGGTCTGTTGGTTAAAACATTTCTGCCGTGGTTTGCTAAAACATTTCTGCCATTTTTTGCATGTCAAAATGTAAAAGTAGACTTTTCAAAAAATAAACAAACAATATCCTACTTAATAATCATCATCATCATTATTGATGTTAAAAAATAATGATAAATAATAAATATTAAATTTAATTTCTTAATAAATACTCTAATCATTTATATGATTTATATATGATATTAGAATACGT